AATAATGAAAGTCACAGTATTTGTAATAATATATTTAAAAACGTTTAAAATTTCACGAATATTTCATTACGGTACGGAAAGCTCCAGCAATTTGCCTTAAGGCACGATGCCATACACCACTAGTTTTAAATTAATTATGAAGAAAGTGGAATAGAATTTTATACAAGGCTCAAAAGCGAAAAGTATAAGATTGAAAAATATAAGATATATTATAATGTCGTAAATAAAAAAAAAGTATTACATATTCGAAAAATAAAGTTCTTACTAAAAGTCCGCAATAATAATTTAAAAAAAAAATGATTCATATAAAAAATTTTTTTTTTTATCATATTTTTAAATGGCATTTGTGCCACTGCCGTCCCGTTTTTGACTTAAAAAAATTGGTTACCTCAATCAATTGTATATAGCGCCAAAAAAAGTTCCATAAAAATCGTCTTAATTTTTTTTTCAACAGTTAATTACAAGATAACGACTCGGTAGATTTTCACATAAAACTAATCAGTATCATTATTTCGAACAGTTTTAGGTTTTTTTAAATCGATTCGGTAGTATAAGCTTAAATGTGGACAAAAAGTTTAACACTTTTTTCCAAATTACAAAGAAACAGCTCGGGCGATAGTCGCACAAAACTGAGAAACAATAATCCTCATCGAGATACATCGATTTTTTATGCATAGTTTTACATAATATTGCATATTAATTTGCAGTCTGAAAATATCAGTTAAGTATTTATAAAATAACAATATATAGTATTGTTGAAACAATTAAGAAAGACGTTAAAAAGTTGAAAATGTATTGAAGCCATGGTTTGTTTCATCATCTGCATAATTCTAAATTATGTCAGTTTCAATTGTATAAAATTATCGTTGTAATAATTGAGAAAATTATATTGTTTTTAATTATTTGCTCAAAATCCATATACATATAATATTTCATTAAATTACATTTTTGTAGATGCAAATAGTGTTTTGTATAAATATTATACATCCCCATGAAGATGTGTATATATGTGTGTATATATGTGTATGCATTTACATATACCCTTCTTTTATCTATGCTCATACATAATATTTTTAAAATATCTTCAATATTAACAAATACAGTAAAAGAATATAAAAAAATGAAACAAAACAATTTCACTTTTCGACAACAAATGTATTCAACAAAAATTTAGCAATTCTTTGAAATCAATAATTTGAATTAAATCAAGTGCTAGATGAAAAATGGTATAAATTTAATACCAGTGTAATAAAATTTGCACATTAAATATTCAAAATCTGGATAACAACAAAAAATTAAATTAAATACTCATATTAAGAAATAAAAGTTGCACAAACAAAATATGTCGGACGCTTAATATATAATTTTAATAGACAAATATATAATAAAAAATGCAATTGCAAAAAAGGTTGCATGTTACTGTCGTTTCTAGTTTCACTATATATTTCAACAAAAATAACTCTTAATCTATCTGAAAAATGCAAGCTTGACTATTCATACATAAATACCGAAATAAATATACATAACAATAAAATTTTATATTTAAAAACAATATTCATATCGTGTAAAAACATTCGACATTCAAAATAATAATTTGATAATTTTATTCTTACCATAAGATATATACGAATACTATTATACATAAAATTGACATCAGTAATTAAATTCTTAAATTAACCTCCGCAAAAGCCTTTATTGAAGTGTATTTACTTTAGAATAAATTGTTATAATTTTAAATGCAATTGTTTACGCAAATATAATGTAATTAGCATTATTTTTTAATTACAACATGGTGATAAAACATTAACAGCATTTTAAATAAACTATACGTAAATAAGTACTTAGAAAATTTATAATGTATGTTTATAGTTAGGCATAGCTAATTTTATGAATCATAATTTGAATAGCAACTATGAAAATAATTGTGCAATCACGTTCTGCATTACTAGTTAGATTTGTTTACGTATTGTTTTTATGTCTGTGATTTCACTGCTATAATAGTAGTAAAAAGTAAATGTTATAGATCTAAGGTAATAATTATTTATAATTTTATAGTAATAAAAATAAGAAAGATTGTCTTACATCTTCTGGCGATAGTTCACGCACTGGAATTTCTTGCTTAATTTCAAGTTCTTTATCAAGCACTTCAGCACAATCTTTTATGATAAGCAATTCACTATTTTCACTATTAAATGTCGTTTGTGTTATCTCGTAATTTGTATATGATTTATCATCTTTTACTGTTTTGTTATTTTGATCGTCGGTTTGTGTTATGATATCTTCGTAATAATTCTCTTCCACAGTGTCGGTGTACACATAATTGAATTTCGAGAACACTTTTGGTAATTCATTCTAAAAATTAACGCACTGGATGAATGATATTCTCTACGTTTTACAAAATAATTCAATACGGTGGCATTGAAATATAACTATATACACATCAAAAATCTGCAAACGCCGGAATTATATTCACTTTCATACGTATGTCATTTTGACATTTATTAGTAAAATGTCGCAGAGCTCTTTATATGACATTCTACTTACTGTCAATACCATAACGTGAAGTTGAATAATAATGAGCAGCCAACTAAACACAAGTGTACCAACATCGGCGATTCGTTTTCAAAATTGGTTTTTTTAGGTTATATTATTGTTTACAAGTTTTCTTAGATTTTTGATTTTGATTGATGAAAATTATAAGGAATATAATATATTTATGATTGAGAAATAAAAAAAATAATAAAAGTTAAATTCATGAACTACTACTGACATAGATAAACAAGTATAAATAATATGTACATATTTCTTTTACTACTAATATTATTTATTTCACGATTTTCTAGTAATAATATTTTCTGTATTACTGATATGACTTTTCTGCCATGACAATATTGCGAATGGTGATACGAAAAAAACTTATTTGTGTAAATTGTTTAAACAAATAAACATTTGAATATGAAGTACCAACCGCAACCAATTTATATGTATGTACCTACCTACAATTTCAATTTTTGCATGATTAATGCTGCAGTTTAGTATATGCATGTATTGTAATCTAAGAAAACTATGTATGAACATACGTAAGAAAATTTCAATTTCTAATAAACTTATTTTTGTTGATATTTATGTATGTATTTATTATTTTTAATAAATATACAGCATTATTTTTCATATATTCGATTATTAATATGCCTATCAACAACATTTAGTCTGGTTAATCAAGACTCTACTGTATAATTCAAATAATATATAACTCAATGTACTGTTAAAGAAATTCCAAATGAATAACATGTCTCGATGAGAGAGCTTTTTAAATCTTTTCATTTATTTTAATTTTATTTCTATTTTAGTAATTAAGATTTATTATGCTGCGTCCCCACTGCACGAATCCGTGCGGCGAATCCTGTTCGCGACGCACGCATGCGTTGGCTATTGTGCGCGACGCACATGCGAGCAATTGATACATTGAAATTTTTAGGATTCCATAATATTTTTTTCTTGATACAGTTCAATTATAAGAAGTGTAAAGAAGTAAACATCTTCTCTACGCATTTCATTTTCAAAATTGAGGATTCGATGAAATATCTTAATGCCTTCACTGTACAATTGAACTTATACCGTAGCACAGATCAACGTTTACGTACAAGTTCAAAGAATAACGTATACGAATACAGAGGCGGCTGACCAACAATTATCAGTTTTGAATAAAAATTATTACTTCTGTTCTAAATATAAATACTGTCAGAAAAGACTTGAGCAAAAATTCAGTCTGCATATTAATAAGATTTTAAATGATATTTAGCGTAATTGCAAATAATACAATATTACCATTTTTTTTTTGAAACATTTAATTATTTGAATAATAAATATATGATACGTATATAAAGTAGTAAGAGTATATATATATATATATATACATGATAATATCATGATGATATAAAATTAACTCTGAAATAGATAAATAAAGTCTACCAAAATATATTTTAGTGGATTATACATATATTTCAACATATCTATAACTTAATTACGATGTATTCCTATAAACTAGTTAGATAAAATTATAATTAATAAATCAATTTTAATGACTGCTTACTTATTTACATTTTTGATCCGCGCTTTGACGCTAATCCATTAGTGTCGGTTCGGTATTTCGGCAGCCCGATGCGTCGGGTTGCTCGCGGCGGGAGCGAGCGCCGCGACGCAAGCTATTGAAATTTTTTCGTGTCGCTTCGACCATGTTCGCAGGGTACGTAAATATTCAAAATAAACCCCCCTCCCATTTCAAACAAAAAAAGAGAAAAAGTGCGCTATGGACATGCGCAGTGGACAAATTTTAAAGGGAATTCGTGCGTTCGCACAGTATCACTCCGCTGCGCAAATTTGTTCGTGACGCACCATTCGCCGCACGGATTCGTAACAGTGGAGACGCGGCATTAGAAAATTATTGTCACATGACTATATAGTTATATTAATTGGTACCATATGTTTTGTGTTTTTCTTTAAATTATTTGTATGCACTGAAGATGGGTCAAATCAGGACCCGAAAAGTTTAACAATAAAGATAGTTTTTCTTCACTAAAATTGTTTAATTATTGGATGGATGGAGGATTAAGGGTATAGTTGAATTTGAAGAATTTGAATATGAACCACATTCTAAAATACGGCAGTTGAAAAGATTTTAAAATCACTTTTATAAAGAAAATTGAATCTTATTTTTAAAAAAATGTTAAAGTTAAACGACTTAAATTAAATAAACTAACCTTGAATTCAATAAACTGTCAAATGTCGGACGTACCAACAATCAGAAGACTATTTGTTTCATCCTTCACCACCGTGAACGCTCTAATCGCACCTAGCGGCAGTTTTATGCAATCATACTTACAAATTTAAAAAAAGAACATTAACATTATTATTAATAATGATTAATTAATATACCTCATAAAATTTTAATACAATGATTACAAGACAAATTTTTTAATAAATTCACATCTCATCTTTCATCTACTCATGGACATATGAACATAACCTATTCTGTCAGTGGTTTTGCCATGTGCTGCTCGTTGTTCCTCTTCTCATGAATGCTGTAATTACATATGATTTAATTGTTCACTTCATTACCTTCTGCGTTTTACTATAACATTGAACATAATAACATAAATAAACTAAATCATGGCGATGTTAGCAGAAAGAAAACGCAAAGTTAAATGGGCTTTAAATCCGCGTGGAAAACAATGGAGTGAAGGTTAAATTTTTCCTAATTCTTTTTATTAATTAATTAATTAGTGAATCATAATTTTTAGTCTTCATATTACAAACTATTATATAATTTTCAGACTCTAATAAATTCGGACAAAAATTACTGGAAAAAATGGGTTGGACCAGCGGTAAAGGCTTGGGTGTGAATGAAAGTGGCATAACAGAACATATAAAAGTAGCATTTAAAAATGATTCACAAGGTAAGTTTATGTGATTAAGTTATAATAATCGTACTATTATTGCATAAATCTCTAATAATTATTTCAGGAATTGGTTACAAACTAAGAGATGACCAATGGACACAGCATGAAGATCAATTCAATTCATTGTTAAGTTCATTAAACGGTGAATCTATTGTTAAAAATGATACACAAGTAGAAGAAGAAGTCACTTCTTGTTCTGGTTTTGGTTTCAAAGACAAAAATAAAGAAACTGTAGTTAAAGAACTTAGTGGAGAATCATTGGAAGATAAATCTAAGAAATCTAAAGCTAGAGTACAGTACGTAATTTAATTTATTAATGTTATGTTCGTGTTATTATAAGAATTGATGTAATTTATTTTTACAGTTACAAAAATTTACCAGAGGAAAGGATATATCAAGGTATAGTGAAAAGGATTTAGCTAATATTTTTGGTAAAAAAGTGGATGATATTAAAACTGAAGAGAACAAAACTGTTTCAAATGTTGAGAGTGATCCACCAAAGGCTACAGAAGATAATGAGAAGTATGTATACTATTATATGTTTATAAATAATACATTAATTATTAATACAGATCTTTTAATTTCAGAAAAGATTTTTCTTTCGGAATAACAACTATTGAGACAAAATTAAGTATAAGCGACTATTTCAAAAGTAAAATGCCCATTAAGAAAACCAATAAATATATTGTGGGCTCTGATGGTGTTCTCAAAACATTAAAAGAAGAAAATGTTAACAATGACCAAGAAATAGATACCTTTAGACCATCTTTCAATCTCAATGAAAAGATTAGTAAAGAAGAAGAATCAGTTCGGTCTACAGAGCATGAAATAACATCTGAATTTGATAGACAAGATGGTTTTCGACCTTCTTTCAATTTAGAACAAACTGAATCATCGTGCAATGTAACTAATAAAGTTGAAAATCACAATTCTAAAGGTGCAATAACAGAAAACCCAGATACTAATATGGAGGAAAATACAGCATATAAAAAGAATAAAAAAATAAAGAAATCTAAAGAAGATGTGATGGATGTCATTCCTGATCCAAAAGAAATTATAGAATTTGATCAAAATTCTAATGATTGCAAAATTGTTAAAAAGAAAAAGAAAAAAGATAAAAAATCTAAATCAACAAAATCGAATGCTGACAATGGCATGGATAATGAGGAATCTAAAACTGTCACATCGGAAGATACTACTGATGGATTAGAGGTTCAAAATAAGGGAAAACAAAAGAATATAGTTAAACACAATATTTTGGATGGGGAATTGCTTATTAATGGTGATGTTGAAAATGTGTTAGAAACTGCAGATAAATCAAAAAAGAAGAAGAAAAAGCACGTATTTCAAAACAATGAAATAAATGAAAATATTTCAAAAGATGAATCAGTGCTAAATGTGGCTGAATGTACATCTAATATTTTATCAGATAATTGTAATAAGAAAAACAAAAAGAACAAAAACAAGGATATTAGTTTAGATGAGGAGATTATTGTACATAGTGAAAAAGAGCAGAATAACATTAACACAATTGACAAAGGCATTGACAGTTGCATAAAAAAAAAAAAAGTAAAAAGAATAAGAAGAAAAAATCAAAAGAATATAGTAACGAAGCTGAAGAAATACCGAATATGAATGAAAATGATGTGCATGAAGAACCTGAAAATAAGATTTCAGAAAATGACATATGTAACAATAATGAAAACACCGACAAACCATCCAAGAAGTCTAAAAAGAAGAAAAAAACTAAGTGTGACAATGAGGTAGATTCCAGAGAGGAGTTCGAAGAAAATAATTTAAATATTCAAGATATCAATAATACACATACTAGTAAAGAAAAAAAACGGAAGTTCATTAATGATGATCATGAACAAAATACCATTCATGAATCTCCTATTTCTGAATCACCCACAACAAAGAAACTTAAAAAAGATAAAATTGAAACAAATGAACCTTCAGATGAAATAGATTGTTCTAAGAAAACTTCAAATGATACATATTCTAATGTTCCTAAAAGCAATTTGATAAGAAATTGTTTGCACAAAGACAAGCTGAGCGTCTGGATAGAAAAATGTTGAAAGAAAAACTTAGAAAAGTGCATGCACAAAAAGGAACATTCATATCCAAAAGTGCTTTTTCCGGATCCAATTTATTAAAATTACCTGGCTATTGTTGATATTATTTATTATATAATAAAATTGTTTATAAAAATTTAATTTATTCAGTTTTTTCTTGATACGTTATTACACCTTTTGCTATTAAATCTGGAATTTCCACAGCGAGCCAAGGCCCAAGCTAAAAAGTTAACACATTCAGTAAATTATTTAAAGCATTTTTAAAAAATATGATGAAAGTTAACATACCCCTAAAGCCATTGCATGTGCAATACCAAATTTGGAGCATTCTTAGACCATAAAGGTTTGAAATGATCTGACAAACATATTTTTCCACCTCGATACATTTTAGCTGTTTTTCCATCTAATTCTGGCAGAGCCAATTCAGGGGATGTCATAGGGTATGTTACAGGAATCTTATAAAGAGAAAACATACATGGGATTGCAATAATTATCAATAAGCCTCAGATATGTAGGCCATATATTCTTAAATTTGTGGGTCAACAAAAAAGACAATTTGAGATCACGTCTATCCGCTAAAGTATCAAGTCTACTTATAAAAAGACTATATGAAGAGTAACTGTGAATACATTATTACTTAACTTTAAACTAAAATTAAATTGATTTAATTAGTAGGTTCATTAACAGCAAACCGTAAAATCAAATTTGAAAGTAATTCATCTTACCTGTTATTTTTCTATTGTCTATTCTTACCTCAAATTCAATGTCAAATTCATATTTTAGTAGCTCGTGCATGTACCAACATTTTCCAAACCATCTATTTCCATCTTTGTTAGATTCTAAGCGAAACCAATCATTTCCCGCATCTTTATTATTCTGTACATACTTTAAAATAAAAATAAATTTATTATTATATGTCCAAAATTTATTCAAATATTTGTAATTTAAGTCTTATAACCTTAATTAATGCTAAATATTCTTCTTTCAATCTGGCTGGCCATTGACTTTTATCTCTTGGACCTGCTTTTGTTTTCAAGAGCGGTATTCCAGATAAAGTTTTATGTGTATTTTCATCCATGTTTTATTTTAATATCTTATTAGTGAAAGTCGTGAAGCAGTTTCTGACAAATAGCTGACATGTCATCAATTTCACAACAATAGTGAAGTTGGCAAAGTATAAGTCACATTTTTTGAGAGCGATGACGTTTCGGCACATAGATAAATAAGCATAGACTTTCACCTTAGAGTCTAAAAAAAAAAAAACTGTTGTTCGTTGATTGAACGCCCATCACTACCTGATAGAGCATGAGCATATTTTCATATTTGGTATCACATCATCATTTTGATTATTTAGCATCAAAATTATATCATATTCTATTTTAATTCTCATATTTCCAAAGCATTATGCATATGTGTATACATAATACTTGCGACATCAAAATGTACTTGTTACTAAATTTTAAATCGATATATTAATAATAAGAATAAATTATACTATCATAACTTTAATATAATTATCACTTTATAACGAATATATATCTATATATAAAAGTAGATTAATTTTAATTAGTCTTAGTTTTATCACATATTTAAAATTAGTACAATTGAATAAAGTATGTTGTTGCACCATTCTTGAATGATGGATCCTCCACAACTTTAGCTCGACACAAAGGACATGTCTGTTCTCTATCAAACCAGATTGTTACACAGGGTTCACAAAAAATATGTCTACAAGCTAGTAGCACTGGTGTATTATATTCATCATGGCAAATAGGACACTGATTGCCTGCTGAGATTAATTGTTCCATGGTTGGAGAAATTCCAAGATTCTGAAATATAAAAAACATTTATTAATACAGTATCTAAATTATTCACGCTTAACATATTATTTCCAATAACAAATATAACTACCACATCCTGTAGCATTTTAAGAATAGCATTCTTAAAAGACTTTGCTCTCTGTAGTAAATCTGTTCCTTTTGATACCATATATGCCGCAGAAAACAGCACACCCATAATCTAAAATTATTTGCAGAAAATTACATAGAAAACATCAAGAAACTTGATACAAAATCTTCAAATCAATTTTATACTTTTTCTGATCCTTGGTAATATTCTAGCAAATAGTACAGCCAAGGTTGGATTGGAGCTAAAGCTCTATAGAATTGCGAGCTCATTTCAATCATTAAAAATACTTTACCCTAAAAAAATTGTTTATTGAGTTCACTATCTATGCATAAAAATGTATAATTCAGACAAACTTACACGCTTTTGATATGCTAATAATTTTCCTGGTAAACTCACAACTAATATTTTGGTTGCTACTGTTAAAAGTTTAATTGTAATGTCAACAATGCCAGTTAACCACAACAAATCCCAAATTGTTACAATATGGTCATAAGAGCCCATAAATACAAGATTCATAAATAAATTTTCTCCTTGGAATAGATAGTTTATTAAAATAATACATCCTGTTATATAAACTACCTCAATTGCTAAAGTTGAAAATGATTTTCTTTGTTGCTTACTGGCTTCACGAATAATTGTTTTATTTGCATGAATAAATGTTACTAATAAAACCAATAAAATTAATAATATTTCTCTGTTATCGTAAAGGCATTTTCCTAGCAAAATCAATGAAAATGGTAAATACCGTAAAAGTGTTTGCATAATCGCTCTTGCTTCAGGATTCTGAAAAATAATAATGTTTAAAAACATTTTTGTATATTGTAATTAAAAATAATATAGCATAAAGTTCTGCAATAAGAAAAATAAGCATTTATCATTATAACCTGTCGTAAAGCTTCATTTACAGGTATTTCCAAGCTTCTAATATTTGCTTGTTGGTCAGCATCTATACCACGTGATACAGTTCCATCTCCATTTGTTACCGAATTCGTTTCATCATTTGAAGATTCACCAATATTTAAATGGGAATGGGAATGAGCATGTGCATGACCAGAACCATTGTGATTATGACTGGTACCTTGTTCTAAGTTGATGATAAAACTTTCATTTCTTTGCATAGGTGCTGCGTTCATAGATTCATAATTGTTAATACTATTAACTGGAATTTCAGTATGATGGGATGTAAGCCAATTTGAATGGACCTGAATTACACAAAATGTTTTATACTTAAAAATAATTTGGATTTAAATATTGTTGGTATATGGATATTATCAAAAAAAAAATGAGAGTATTGAAGCAAAATAATTTTAAAACAAATTGAATATAATCAATCAATAATATATCGATATCATTTAAGCAAAAATTTGTTATTCAGAAAGCACTTCAAAAATATAATCTTTACACTAACCTTTATACTATATGAAAAATAATACTTAACTGTTTGAACTATAGGCCGTATTTCTTGGAAAACATTTTGTATATTATCTCTAATGGATCGTGTACCAGAATTAGACATTAGTCTAGCTCTTTCCGTAAGCATTGATCTATCAAAGAAGCTGCTACTTGATTGACTTCTAGCGGGATCAAAATTGTTTTGCAATTGTTGATTGATGGGGCCCCCATTGGGATTTTCTAATAAAATCCTATGACTATCTGGATTGACATGTGACGGCAGTGACATGATATGATCTTCTGTAAATTTTGTTCGAACTAAACTGTGATTATGATAAATGTTTTATTAAACAAGAATGAAAATAAACGTACATTTTTATACAATAAAATAATTACGTTAATGTCTTCAGTTGAAATGCCACACAATATTACCTTCAATTTGCAAAATATATTTCAGAGAATCACAGAATGAACTACGTGTAATTCTAACAATAACGAGTTCATTTTATCGCACTAAAACACTTAGGTGAGAAAGTTAATGATTAAAATGCTTATCTCCGTCAGAGAAAATGCATGAACGGTTTATTGTTACGACTTTTGACAGATGACAATTCAACCTGCGTATTATTTATTATTCATTTTTATTAAAAAAAAACACTTGAACTGTAAGTGGAATTTAGGTTTAGCACATACAAAAATTTTGCATAATTTTCTCTTTAAATAAATTGTTTCAATATTTCCTCCCATTTGGATAACATCATAAAAACATGAAAATTTTGAGCATTATTATATTGTCTAGGATTGCCTACGATGAGCAAACTGGCATGCATAGATACCATAGGCAATAAGATATGAGCAAGTTCGACTGACTCCGAACAAAATTCGCGTGTACTGAAAATGTTTCAACCTCTCGCCACCAGCGCTAGTGAGCCGTTCGAAATCGTTATTTTCGTATTATTGAGAGCTAAAGGTGCGTCCACACCTAACGAACGAACATGTCGAACAAGAAAATACAAAGAAGAACGAACAGGAACACGAACGAACGCAAAAAATTCCAAACAAATGCCTCAAAGCAGTGAGGGCTTGAATCTTTTTGTTCGAGGATGTACCGTGAAACGTCAGATTTATTATTTAAAGTGGCGAGAAAGAGCAAATTTATTTAAAGTCATCAAATTTACAAAATTTGTCAATAACATCAATATCTTATTATAAACACAACAAAAACTAATGCAGGACTGCACATTTTAACATCAAAAAAGAAAAATGTTTGTCTACATTCGTGGCAGCGTCCACACTGCACATACGAGTTCAAACATGAACGATGTTGATTCCCTTTGATGTACCGACAAGTTGCGGAACATTGCTTGCCATGTTTGTTTACTCGTATGTTCGTTCGTGATCGTTGTGGCGTCCACACTATGCTGTTGCCGTTCGTTCTGGTACGTTCTTTTATGTTCGTTCGTTAGGTGTGGCGCACCTTAATTTGAATCGTGCTGTAATTGTTAATAAATTTTTGCATACACTGTTACTTGAACGAACAATATGGGTTACTGACTCAGGTAAAAATGCGTTATTGTATAGATTTCCGCATAATGTGTTCCGCATCCAGCTGCCGGCTTGTCTACCACGAACGATATTGATACATACCATAAGAAACAAGTATGCCAAACAAGCAAGGAAGAATGTTATGAAAACAGTATCTTCGAAGATTCTGTCACAACATTCTTCCTTCCTTGTTTATATGTAAAATACGCCTGATTGTACAGCAAATAAATAGACATTTTCACAGTTTTCACTACCAAGAAACAAGCATAATATAGCATTGCAATGGCAACGCTGTTATGAGCTCAGTTGTGGCAAAATATTGCCCCACAAATTGTGTGGAATCAATTCAGAATTGCTGAATTTTCAACGTGTTTTGAGTTACAATTTTGAGCATATTATATTTTCAATGGAGGCTATGGGTATCAAATAAAAAGTTAGTTAAACCTATTTAGAAACTATTAAAAGCAACTTCTTTATTCTTGATGTAAAATTGATTGCAATTTCGAAATGCTTTTCAGTTACATTTGAAATAGAATTTCCACATATATTGTAAAATATTTTGAAAATTTTAAATAAAACAGTCAAAATAGAAATTAGTATTTATTTTGAAATCTTATTAGTTAAAAATGACTAAACATTCCATTGACTGCTGGTTCAAATTTATAAGCCTGTAATCTATTTCTTCCTCTAACAAATGTGTTGGGTGATTTGCCTTTATTCTGTTCAAATAAAGTATGATTTTCTAAAAATATATCAAAACAAGATAACACTCTTATCAATTGTAAAGTAAGAATGTATCTGCTGTTGTGAGAGGCTACTTGTTTTTCACAGTCACAATTTATTGCTCTTTCCATATCCTGTAATAAAATTTCTTAATTAATTATCATAAATAGATTTATTGTGCTTTATAACATGTGAATGTACTGTTAAGGTCTTTTTTCATAAAGGCGATGATGTATAAAACCTACAAAACTTCTACTACTATTATTGCATCTATATATAAATATGATTTTTCTCACACTATATCATTCTTTCAGTTTTCAAAACTTATAAGACAAATATGTGGCATAAATGCAATTACGAAGACAAAATACAATAATAATTTCAAAACTAATGAATTATGGCAATGCCCCATGGATAAATTTTAATTGACTAATATTTCATAACATGCTTACTCTTATTGTATCATAATTTGTATTATCCATGATATCGCCATTACAGGTAACAGTTAATGAGAAAATCGGTGTGATTTTCGGATAGTCTACACTTACAGCTACAAAGCACTCCAATTTTGCTGTAAAATTTCATATCAACATAAATTATTAAATATCTTTGCTCAGCATACCATAAAAAAATGTAGATCTATAATTCATTCATTAAATGTATGTTTGAAATGCAAAGTTAAATATAATCTAAATTATACCTGAACCCTTTGTGATCAATGCTCTATAAAAAATATCTGTTTCAGAAACATTTTGTTCCTGGATATGTAACTTTGTTGACTGTGAACCACAATATTCAGGCCAAGAAATTCTTAACCATTGAGAAAGTGAACAAGTATATTTAGACGAAATAAATACATCAGCATCAGGAACTTCATACAGTACGCCTGATTCTATAAAATACTAATATGTAATTTCTATTCACTTATAAATAATTTATATTATTTATTTACCTAATTTTTGAATCTGTTTACAAAGATCAATTCTCGCACTCAGACGACTTCGTAAAGTTTTCACAACACTTTGTACAACTGAATGAGAAATGTCATATTTAGTTTCCTTTTGTAAATCTACAAGAAGGAAATCCATTCCGCATAGTTTTTGTGCCCAAATATATGGCCTTCCTAAATCACCAAGTAATGGTATCAGATCACCCAAGCCCAACTTTTGAAGTTTATAAGAATTTGTCAAATTCGGACTAGTCTCTCCATTATCATTTTTATAGAGACAGTTCAGTATACTCATTGGCGCGATGAGGTCACTATTCCAAAAATAAAAATAATATATATTAAGGTGAAAAATTTGAGACATATTTTATGGATTTATTCAAAAAGAATCATATTTTTAGGTTGTTTTATAATATTTTATTGTTATAAGTGAGGAATGCAATACCGATGGAAAATTTCAATACCGGTATTTCGGTAATTTTTCATTTTAAAACCGGAATACCGGTAAATTACCGGTATTTTTATTATCTTAAACAAACGTAAACTAAATTGAAAGTTTCTAGTACAAATATAAAAAAAAGTATATACAACTACAACTATATTCAACTAAACAATAAAATAAAACAATAAGTTTATTTTCTTAAATAATAATTTAACAAAAGTATATGCAATTTAATTAATTCATTATCACTATTGAGTACTTTTCACCAAAAACAAACTTATGAGTAAAAAGGCCAAAAACTCATAAAATATATTATATTATTTACAGATTAAACTATATTGTCTGTATCCGATGTGATAAATTAGCATAATCTCCAATATTTTAAATAAATAATGTTTCTACACTAATTTAAGATCGGATTCTTTGTCGAGATAAATAATAAGTTACTATAATTGTTGAGTATTTTTATTTAAAACAATGTGATGCTTCTATAATATTTTCAAACTTCGAAATGTTTTCGAAAAATAATATTTTATAATTGTAATAAGAAGCAAAAATATTTAGTAATTATCATAATTATTATGTATAAAATTAGAAAAAAATAAAGATTAGGCAGGGGGTAATCTGTATATATAAAATATTTTGGCGCAAATATCACTTAAAAAATCGTTACATTTTTACAAAAGATGATGAAAAGACATCATTATATATCAGTCCAATTCTATTTATTGTAACACGATATGAAGCCCTTTGGTAAGCAATAAATATTCAGTTTAATGACGAGTTGAGATAATATTTGACATTTGTTTATCTTATAGAATCACTTGAAAATATAGCTGTTTATGCAATTATGGAATTTAAAGATAAATTTGTTCCGAGGAATTTAAACTTTAGGGTATTATGTATCAAATAGCGCTTATGTAAAATTACCGAAAATACCGGTATTTTTGGAATAAATACCGGTAAAAATACCGCCGAAAAATCGTGCGGTTTACCGGTAATTCGGTATACCGGTATTGCATTCCCTAGTTATAAGTTATTTTACTCAAATGTATTTTATAAAAGTAAATTTCAGCTTTTCATTATTTGTTCAAATGTATAAGTCATCAATTATACAGGAAGACATATTTCTTTTAATATTGTTAATTTAACCCTTTTGAATAGGCAACAAAAACGCACATACGTTGTAAACATCGTATTACTGTATAAGTTATCCAATTTGTTTTATATAAATTGGTGGACGAGCATACATTTTGCAATATCTAAAAAATGTTTCTGTGGGATGCTAAAGTTGAAAGCAATTTCCAAAATTCAGAGCGGGTTGATTCCACTATTGTTACAATTACTTAGAATGGCGACAGTTTTTTTTTAATCATTTCACTTTCACTGTCTTTTTTTGAAGAAAATTTTGCTTTACAAATTGCTCGTCTATTTTACCGTATTTAAAAAAAAGAAGTAATATGTAACAAAAAAGGACAAATAATACAGAGAAAATAACTAATAGTAAATTTTGCAAAGACTATCTTATTACTGCATAGATTTATTTCAAGAACAAGTAAGCCTTTTCAACTCATGGGTAGCATTTAATTTCTAAAACTGCATGACGGGCTGCATGCACAAGCATGATATATATTAATAAACATTATAATATAAATATACTAAATTAAACAAAGTAAATATTTCAAAAATTATTGTAAAATGAAAAGAATGCGTCATAATTAATTTATTGATAGAAGAAAGTTGATGAAATAAATAAAATACGAACTGAGTCATTGTGTACACAAAGAGCCGAGTTATATGCTAGACTTACGTTGTCCCCAAAAAGGAGAACATTTATTCATTCCCAATTTATGATAGCAACTCACCTGGAAGTGAAAAAATCTGAGTTTTCACTACATTTTACTTCACAACTCACAGTAACAATGTGAAGCATTTTCAAATAACTGAATGTTAACGACATTTTGAAATCATCTTTAGTTGATATGACCATAACAACTGATAATGGATGAGGTTTGAGTAATTCTTTTCTTTTTTGTTCTAACAAATCTCCTTTCGTAATTTTTCTGTGATGACGTTTTTTTGTTTGTTTTTCCTAAATAAACAAAGTAATTAATATGTAAAAAAAACTCTGAAGTTATGTTATATTGATTTTTAAAAACCTCAGTGTTTTCATTGTCAATCTCGGATTCCGATTCAAGTTCTAAATCATTTCCACATATATCATGGCTTTCTATATACTGTCTTGCATCATCATCGTCTCCGTTAATTGATAAACTAATTAGTTTATCTAAAAATATAAAAAACAAGAAAATAACAGGGGAAATAATGTACATGAAGTAGAAAGAAAAACTAACTCACCACAAACTTGGTTATAGGCATATACGTTAACATAAAGTAAATACAATGGTTCAGGTAATAATTTTGCTCTAGCTTGCATTTGCTTTTCTTTATCGATTGGAAGGCCAAGAGCTTCTTGTAAAGGTTTAGTTGCCTATTTATAACATAATTTTAATCATCAATAAGGTATAAAGAAAACAAAAAGTATTATTTTGCTATATAAATAACATTAGGAATACAGCGGTACCCCGTCTTACGAGTGATCTGACATAAGTGTTTCGAGATACTAGTCACCAAAGGAGCATTGCTTTGACATACTAAAAGAAGCTAACATTTTTTTTGAAAAATGTTCATGATAAAATAAAAATACAAAAAATTTCGTCAGATGTAACTAAGATTTTCCTACCATAGAAAGATTTTTGCGATATATAGTATTTTTATGATAGTAAAATATAATTCTATAGTTAGTCATTACAATTATATATTAATATTAATAGTGTAATAAATGATTAACCAGGATTATGATTGCAAAATTGTATATGTCGAATACGACTTTTTAACATTTTCAAAATATGTATTATATACTTTTATAACCAAATATATAATATGTGTTCAAAGAAAAGGGCCATGTTTCCTGACTTAAAGCATAAAATTATTAAAAAATATGAGAATGTGCTTGAACAGAAATAGTTGATAAAGGGTATAACACCAGCTAAGAGCCTTACAATAATTTATAAGCAGCTTCTAAGCTCCAAAATCTTTTGGATAAAAATCACCCTAAAAAAGTGCAACCATTTGAGAATGGGAGCTTTTCAATGAAACATCTGTAATTCATTTCCACAATATCATGAAGGGACAGGAGAAAACAATAATTAAATTAATAATTAATAAATTTATATTTAATAATCAAAAAATTTAAAAACCAAAGACATTTCAATATAGTGTAATGTGTATGAGAAAATTTGCTAATCACATATTACTTTCCAGATTAATAATATAAACAAGTACTATTTTAAAATACTTCTTTCAATATTTTGACTATTCCATTATAATCATCTTAATATTGTGTGCACATCTAATGCAAATTAGGACAATAATTAAGATAGTTTTCATATTTAATGCCAAAGTCATAAAACATTGTATGAATTAAAAAGAAAAAATATAGAAAAATGCTGCAAAATAATTCCATATTAATAATAATGGCGTATCATAATAAAATAAATTTTTTAATAATATTAAAAATTAATTTAAATACTTTGAATTTTAAGAATAAATTGAAGTATTCATTGTGTTCAATGTTGGAAATATATATATATATATATATATATATATACATATATATATATATATATACAGGGCCGGTCCTGCCTTGCATGCGATGCCTGCAAAAAATGCGGGTGCGCGCCTTAGGGGGCGCCAAAACGAGTTTCGGAAATTAAATTTATAATATAATACTTATATTTTTTAATATAAAATCTAGAATTATTTATATAAAATCTAGAATACTTAATAAATTATAATAAATAATTTAACTTAACTAGGGATACGGAGACACCAAAAGTATATTTACTTTGCAATGTGATATCAGTAGAAACAATTAACCGATTAATAATTCTGCAAACTGAAAAATTCTGTAATAAACAGCTGTGTTTATTGCTTAATCTACTTATTCAATTTTTTCTTTGTTTGAAGTTACTGTTGAATCAAAGCGAGCTGATTTAGTTGAATCGGAACTTGTTAAAAAATATAAACAAATTATAAAAAATGGGGAGTCAGTGCTTAGAGAATGACTTGTTTATTCCGAGAAATTGAATTGTAACTTTTGCTTTTGTTGCAAATGTTTCGCATCTGTTGAACTTTGAATGTTGAAGACATGGGTGGAACAAATATGAAAAATGGAAGCAAAATTTACTTTGAAACTAGTGGCGTCCGTTCTCTAAATTTAATAATTATTAACTTTACAGAAATGATACATATCAAATATAATAAGTTTTTTTTCAATATTGTTCAAGAAATGTGTAATTTCTTTGCATTTTTATACTGATTTTTGAACAATACTTCTAAAATACGTTAAAAATTTAACTTTAAAACAACAAGCTCTGAATATGACGGCTCTTACGATATCAATAAGGAGAAGTTTACGACGCAATTTTGGATATTGTAAATGATGAAAAATTCAATTAAATTAAAATTTAAAAAATCCAACATGAAATACGGGTGTTATGTTTGAAAAAAATGCTATTTTTTTCTAAATATTGATATTGCATATACGTTAAAAATCATTGAAAATTTCAAAATATTTGATTATAATCAACCCCCGAATCGCCTCGATTTTCTAAATAAATTTAAAATCAATATATTTTATACGTTTTTACATTATATCTAAATTTTTTGTGCACTAAATTCAGAATAATTAAAAATTAATTATTTATTTCACTTAATATATTTGTTAAATTAAAGTCATAAAATTTAAGAAATGCATTTCAGAAATAGTATTTATTATTTTGATATCAAGATCTTTATATCAAAATAATAAATACTATTTCGGAAATGCATTTCTTAAATTCTACAACTTTAATCTAACAAAAATATTAATTCTTTTGCTATGGTAGTCGAACTTACATCCTTAACCAATTTACTACATATTGAATATTACTAAAATGTGAAATTATGAAGGGATTGTTTTATTTATTGATATCAATAATAATAAATAAATTTAAAATCAATATATTTTATACCCTTCTAGATTATTTCTAATTTTTCGTGTACTAAATCCAGAATGATTAAAAATTAATTTTTAAAAAATATGTGTATTTTAATATAATTTTAATGATAAACTGTTAAAATCAATAGGGGTGGGGGCGCTAGAAAAAAAGTTGCATGCGGGCGCTAAGGACCCCAGGACCGGCTCTGTATATATATATATATATATATATATATATATATATATATATAACTACAATGCATACCTCTAACATAGTCTTGAGCTGAGGACTTAACGAATTTAATTGGGTTCTTTTAGCAACAATTTCTGCTGCAATCACTTCCTTTTTATCCTGCAATTCCTTGCACATCCTTGCTAGCTCTTTTCTTTGCATAAGTTCATATTCTAATCTGGCCAATTGAAGCTTATGAGGATCTTCAATTGAGACATCCTTTGAATATAATGCCATACAATGAAAATGTTGAATTAATAAAAAATTATCACTATAATATCATACTAATATTTATAGTTTTACATCAATTTCATACCAATTTACCTTAAGTATATTTTCTGGAGCACTTTTGAAAAATTCTTCTGGAGAAATTAAATCAATTTCTTCATCTTTTGATTTGAATTGAAGACATTTTGTTACTTCTTTATTTAAGTGATCAGATTCATAAAATAAATTTTGTAATTGCAGTTGGGTACTGTCTACATTTTGTTTTTCTTTATGTAATAAATCACGACCAGCTTTAGTGCGATATTTTTCCATACGATTTAGTTTCTTGAGTACAAGAAACAGCATAGATGCTTGTATTCGTTTGTCAGCTATTTCTTTTGAGACCTTGGAAATAAATTATCATTAAAATAATTTATTTTTAATAAAATAAGTTTACATATTAGAAATTGTAATTTTTTAATGACTATAAGTTTAGAACTTGCGTGCTTTTGATATCTTGAATGAAACTAGTTGTAAGTAGCATATAGCATATAGAAGGCAAGTTGCATTAACTTCTCAATACATATAAATAATCAAATTAATCAATAAGAAATGAGGAATTCAGCTATTCTGTTTATTTCAAAAATAAAATTTTCACTTTCACCAAAAAATAATCAATAATGAATCTCAATTGATTCAGAATGACTTGAAACATCGAGAAAGCAAAATTTCCTTTGAGAAGTTAAAAATAATTTTAAGGATACAAAAATACTTCAAAATTATACATTATTCAATATACAGTTTATTATTATATAATGATAGATAACATTTTAAATATTAAAATTTAATTGGTGTTGACATTGAAGATAGATTTTTTTTATAAAAAATTGCTTGAATAATTCAAACAAAATGCAGTTTTTGCCTGAAATTAGTTACTGTTCAATTTTATTGAGAATAAATATTTTATGCAATTGACCAGGATTAAATAACTTTAAAAACAATTAATTGTATGAAGTTTATGCATAATTAGTAGAGATAAGGGGTGTAAAATAGTGAAACCAAAGACGGCTATTGAATTGCTGTGTTTTCATCAATCTTGAACATTAAGCTACATTTGCCATTTTCATAATTTTTTAAGTTATTCATCGATGGAGCTTAAATTGACTAAAGCTTCAGTAAAAGAAGCTAATAAAATTAAATTTTTGAATTTAATAAATATGTTTACATTTCAACTAGGAATCACCGTTTGTTAGGACTAAATTCTGGGATTTAAAAAATTATGTTTTAGTAGATTATACATACCAATTTATTTTCTACTAAAACACTAGGGTCATTTAGGCACATATGATTTTCGAATTCTAGGGATCAAATTGCTGAAGAGACGATACCTCTAAAATGAATTCTGATATCCCATGCATTGACCCAAAGATTTCAAATTTTAACTCTTATCTTTGGGTTAATGCATGGAACATCCGAATTCATTCTAGAGGTATGGTTTCTTCAACAAAGTATCTTATTTTGATCCCTAGTATCCGAAAATCATATGTGTCTATGCGACATTTTTTGACTCATACAAATCATCCCGCACTAGGCACTAGTTTACATATTTAACAAATACTTCGACTGAAACTTTAGTTCAGTTGAAATATAATCATTTGTATCAGATATAAAATGTTTAGGCTTATGTACTTAAAACAGTGATTTGCAACCAGTGGGGCGCGCCCCCCCCGTTTCCAGGGGGGGCGCAAAGCTGTTTCAAAAATATTTTTTTAAATGCTGAGTAAGTGTCAAAACAAATCAGCAAAATACTTAAAGTACTTCTAAGAGTGTTTGAACTCAAAAAAGAAATTGCTATATTTCTTGCTGATAACAAAAGAGACGGAGCATTCTTGTTTCAGGACACAAAGTTTCTCGTAAAATTTGCGTATTTAGTTGATATTTTTTAAAGACTTAGCGATTTAATTAAATCGATGCAAGGATCTCAAATTCGTGCTTTTGTTCAGAAAGACAAGATTACGGCTTTAATATCAAATAACTTTATAACTTTAACATGTTTCCCACTTTTAAAATTACTTGTGCTACTGATGAAATAGAAGTAAGTAAAGATCTTATTATTATATCAGTCATATGACTAGTCTACGAAACCAATTTTCGCATTACTTTATCTAATTACGTCCAAATACGAATGGATTGATTAGAAATCCATTTGTCATTGAGAAACATGATGATTTTGGTCATTCAACAGCAGAGCAGAAAATGGTAATTGATTTATCTAGTGATAGCACATTGAAGCAGATATTTTAGGACGAAAATATATTGTCAAGTTTGGTTACCAGTAAAGGACGATTTTCCTACTTTGGCAAATAATGCTTTAGAAATTTTATTATCATTTGTAAGATCTTATTTATGTGAAACAGAAAATTTGTATAATAAATAGTTATGTTTGTACTTTGTATGTATATTTTTATAATACTGTGTATTATTTGACATAATTTCAGTTATATTAAGTATATTTAAATAAAATTGTTAGAAAAATAAGAAGGGGAGGGGGGCGCCATATTTTTTCATTCGAAAGGGGGGCGCAAGGAAGAAAAGGTTGGAAACCGCTGACTTAAAATCTAATTGTGTTACATACATCGGCATCTGTTTTTAGATTTCAACTCCAAGATTTCTGCAAAAATTGCTCGTAATTCATTGCATGTCTTATAGAACAATTTAGCATCACTTTCAGGTGATCTAAGCTTCGCTTCTTCTTCCTCATAGTTAATTACCCGCTAAAAGAATAAAAATATGCAAATAATTATTGCTGTATTGATATGTAAGGTTAGAATTAATAAATTGTTTACATTATACAATTCTTCACTAGATATTGTTTTATCTGCTACCGTAGTAGTTGTACTGCTTTTCCTTCGTTTTTTTATCACAGTTTCAGAGTCTTTAACCATTTTGACAATTTGCGTACAATTGTTAACTTTTATATTTTAGCACCAAAACCTTTTCAGTTTTGTGACAAGCAAACATGAACACAGAATAAAATACGACAGTATTATAGACGTTCCTCTCTCTTGATTTTCGTTCAGAGAGTTAGCGAAAGTTTCACACGCTATGGAGCGCTTTATGCCGTTTGGTGCTCTCAGCATAGATAAATAAGCAATAATGTGTTTAAACATTTTTGACGCAAAAGTTAAGTTTTCATAATTTTAATATTCAATTCAACTTTATTAACTTCCGAAGGAAAAATTTATGTTTTCATAAAAAAAAATCCTATTCGGTAATTTTATGTTTTCTCGACGTTTCAAGCCATTCTGAATCGAATGAGACCAAATTTGGAAAAACTATGTGTGCGCCCGGACACCACAAGACGTCCTGATAAATATCCGCAGGACATCTACATGCGGACATTCATTGTCCGTGCTACATACGGATATCCGGCTTATCCTGATATTATTCGAAACTTGTTAACGTGTCGCACCCGTGGGACTTCTGCAGGATATCCCGCGCGAAATATTCCGGACATGAGCCGGACGTAGGTAGGATTTAATTAAAGAATCGTTTTTTACTTTCTAGATAAAAAATAAATTTGGATTAAAAATAAGATAAAAGAACACAATTTCAGGAAGTAAACTTTTATTACAAAATAACAAAATCCTGAAATAATTTTATAACAAAGAGAAGTCGTTAAAAATTAGAACCTTCATCGACGTTAAAACGTCTGAACCGATTTCAAAAATTTAAAAGCCAATCGATGTATTTCGATGTGGATTATCTTTTCTCAGTTTTGTGCGACGATCGGCTGAGCCGTTTCTTTGTAAATAGCAGAAAAGTGATTTTTTTTGTCCACGTTTTATCTCTCAATTCTGAATCGATTTCAAAAAATCAAAAACTGTTCGAAAGATATTATGGTTGGGAATGATACTGATTAGTTTTAGGTAAAAATTTACCGGGCCGTTTTCTTAAAATTAACTTTTGAAAAAAAAAATTGCCGATTTTCATAAGCCTTTTTGAGCAATAGATATCATGGTCTTATTAAACATACTAAAATGTTACGGCCCTACGATAAATAGTTTAATGTTAGAAATTCATCAAAGTTTGAGAAAATATAATAGTCAAAATTTGTGTCAAAAGTTGCTTTTGTGATGTGATGAGTCAAACATTGTAAATTCATTGAAATTTGGAATAATAAGCTACAATTTTAGGGCATACAAGCACGTGTCTGTACAATATAATTAATATAATTACAGTTAATTTAAATGTGTTTGATAAAATTCTACTCGAAATCGCAATGTTTAGATTTAATTAAATGCGATAACTTTACTCATACTTTATTTTTGAAATAAGCAGTTGAAAATTTTATCTAAATATCTAAATTCCAAATTCGATTGATTAAATCAAATCTCACACATTTCGGGAAGTTCATGCAGCTTGCCTTAATACCTTCAACTAGTTTCAAATTTTAATTGAAGAATTAAGATCAGAATTCAATACCTCATAGAGCAAACATTTCCCACGTTCACACGCATAGATAAAAAACAACAATTTTTACAAATCGATTGCTTACATAATATTTTAAAATGTTTAATAACATGTCATTATAATTTTAAAATTCTTAGCAAGTTTAAATTTTTATTAATAAGTTAGAACTTATATTTGTTTAATTTTTGTGATGGCTTTATTATTAATATTAATTTCAATTTAAATTTTCTAAACTAAAAGCGTCCCTTTTCCATTGATAATAGATAATTACAAGTGGGTGTTATATTTAAAGGTTCTAAAACTTTCAGCATATTTATACATTTTTGGGATTTGTGAAGAATTTTTAGGCATTAATGATTTTAAATTTTGATTGACAATAAAAGTATGCAAAAAAAAAAATTAATGATTTTAACTTATTTTTTTATGTCCGTTGCCGTATGTGAGCAGTTTTTTCTGTATTTATATTTTCATTAGTAGTATATAGTATTAGCAGCAGTTCAGCAGTAATTCAGTAGATTAATAAATAATATTACATACGAATTGAATTCATTTATTCTTAAATTTTATAAAAAAAATATTAAAAAAAAAGTTACAACTATATTCTGTGATATATGAATTTATTTCAGATATTTGATTTCTTTATTTTTCAATGTATGTGGCCTGCACAATTATCTGAAGCATTTTTAAATTGGATAAGAATGATCAAATATGTAGTGGCTGTCCCCAGCATCTGTTTGTTTATAAAATAATAGTTATAAATATTATTTAGTAATTATTGATTAAATTAGTATTAGTTAAAAAAAAAGTTTTGTACCGTTGTAATTATTTCTGGAGATAAGGTAAAAATGCCGCAACCTGTTATACAAACTTTAGTGCTTAAGACTTGCATTGAAATATGCTGTATCTATTGAAAAATATACATATTTAATATTAAATAAATAATCAGGTCTCATATATTTTATGAACTTACAGTTTCTTGTATCAAATTAGAATGGTGTTTGGAAAAACGAGCACTATGGAGTATTGTTCCTGTCTTTTCTGCCTGTAAATCAACTTATAAGTATAATTTATATTTTTTTGTAAATAATAATTATAATATAAAATGATATTCATGATTTTTAAATATCAGTAAAAAAATGATAATAAATACCTCCTTTTGAGTACAATATACAATTCCAACCATGGAAAAGGTTTCCATAGACAGTCTAATTAATGATCCAACAGTTGCAATCGATGGAGTATGAAATCCCTTTATGAGGATCATATTATATAGCAAAGCTATCAGCAAAGTGAAATTTAAAATAAAAATCATCATAATATCGAACGAATAGTATGCATTTATAATTTTAATTATTCTGAAAATATCGTGATGAATTCTAGCTAAAGCTTTCAAATCCTCATCAATATTTTCACTTCTCCTGGAAATGCGCGTGAAGTCCTTCTCAAATATTGATGTTTTTACTAAATCCATTCTCCTGAGTAATTTATTTATATTTCTATAATTTTTATAACATACGCTCATTAGTAATATAAATTGTGCTTCAGCCGTCAATCTGAATGAGACCGAAATACTTCTTAAAAATACATCCAATACTTTAAATTTATATCGATACATGAAAAAAGTATACAACGTTCCAGCAATAATGATGGGTAAACTGATCCAAGATAAGTAAAACAAAATTTGATGATCATTTTGAATACCAAATTTTAAAAACTTTGCATCCATTTGCGATATTTTTTGCAAAATTAAACGCGCGTGGTGTTCCCTGCCTATAGTAGAAATTATATAACAAATGATACCAAAGGGTATTAACCAAAAGGAAATCATAGTTATTATTTTTTGTGAAAATTCATTAGAAACAGGTTTCTCAAAAGCGCCTATTATATAAAAGCAATACGCAATAGACAATATAATAAATACTTGGTAAGAAAAATTTAAAACTTTTAAGAATTTTGCCGAAACATGACTTTTTACAGGCCAACATGGACACATGCCCAGAAGTTGCGAAAAAACATATAGCGGTAATAAAGCTTTATAAATGTCAATATTATTGTTACTCTTGAAAACAAAGTTTTTATTAAACATTTTATTCAGTCTATCTACTTATTACAAGTTTCAATACTGGCATTTAAAAACTACTTTTGGCCTTCATACCATTTTCGAATTTTCTTGTAATAACTGTTGTAGTCATATAATTACACCATAATTGAGGTTCATATATTTCCTCATATCTTGGTCAATGCATGTTTTATTCAGATTAATTATTAACGATATTATCTTGAACGAAAAAATCGATCATTTAATAAAATCCATCAACAAGATTACTTTTTGTAATTAGTTTGAAAGAAAATTAAGTATCGCAGATAACAAATTAAAATATCGTATGCAAATAAGCTAATGCATTTATCTTCTTTTTGTCATCAGGTAATTAACAAGAACACATTTAAAATTTAATGCAATTAAAGGTATGTCTAGAATATTAAATAACGTACTATTGATAAAATAGTAGTCTATATTTGCAAAATGGTAAAAAATGAAGTCTTTATCAAAAATGACTTTTGTAACAAAATTTGTGAAAACAGTATTAAAGCAAAAATTCGAGTTGATACAAATTTATAATATTTTTCATTATTTGTTAAAATTTCACGGACTCACAGCATATCGCATAGTTTCAAAAAATGGTTTTTACTATAGCCAAAATTCCATGGAAAGCATCATTATTATTGTAACAATTTTTACGTTGACTATTATATCCTAAGTTTTATCCATTCAAGCTACTCTAAACGGAGTTTTAAGAGATTTTGTATCAAGATTGACTTTAATGATGCATTTAATAAATATATCTCTAAATATTGTTGCTTATCTCATCATATTTATATTAACTTGTCACTTAAGAAACTTTATATTGAAAGACGCGTTTCAACTTGCTGAAATAAATAAGAAATCTTCTGAACTAAGTCATTCAAACACTAATACCATGAATTCTTTATCGATCCTAAGAATATGTCCAAGTATTGCAGTTGGTTTATATATGACGATTTATAATTTTGTATATGCCACGAAAACTTTAGGGCCATCAGCATATTTCTTAACTCTCATTTACACTGTTCCTTTTATGATCGCCAATATTCTAATGAAAGAATTCGAATTCTTTCTATACGCCATAAAGAACGAATTCAAAAATATTAACGGTCAATTGTTTGAAATGAGCTGGAGAAACAAATATGAGAATATTAAAAAAACTTGTAAATTAAGCAAAGTTCTCGATTTACATTGTAAACTGTGTGAAAAACTCGAAGACGTAAATGACCATTTTCAATCAATTTTCTTAATCATTTTTGTGACACTGTTATTTTCTATGTGCCAAGGTGCTTTAGTCGTGGTCTTAATTTTATGTAATGTTTTGGATGAACAAAATACGACATTGATACCGGACTTATTCTCAATATTGGTCAATATTTACCTGATAGTCATTCCATATGAATTTGTGAACGTTATAGTGTTT